CCCCCCATTACAGACCTCCCCACGGGCCGGTCTCCTTTTACTAGACGGCAGCTCCCTAATTTGATTGTTCTTTGGGGTATCCTAAATATTGCCAATCTCAGAATCTAAAAAAAAAAAACAAAAACCTGAATCTCCTTAAAACACTGTTATGCTTCATACTCTGTGATTCCATTTATATAATCATCTTGAAATTACGAAATCACAGAGACGGCGGAGGATTGATTGGAGGCTGCCGGGGGCGAGGGGTGTTGCGAAGGGAGGCTGGCGTGGGAGCCCGCGGGAACCTTCGACCCAGCGGCGGGGTCGGGCACAGGCTGGGGGGTGACGTGACTAGCGCTGACCGGCTCTGCGCTCCTGCCGGCGTCCTGCTCTTGATGCTGTGCCGCGGGCCCACTTTTCTCTTGACCGGGGGTGGGGTTTTCCCACTTGGCCACGTGTCGAGTAATTTGGATCGTGTTGGGTTCGCTTTGTAAATGGTAATGTGCACAGCCTGCGTTCTGCATGGTCCTTTGGAGAGAATCGATTTTGGGGGGCTCTTAACAGGCCGTTCATTAGACCGAACTTGAACTGAGTTCCGCCGACGTCTCTGTGGCGGGGGGCAGCTCCGCTCGCGCATTCAAAGGGCGAGCCTTGACCGGGAGCTGCGTGTCCTGCGCTCAGATGGTGCCGCGCTGAAAATGCAAGGGGACAGGGCCCTCCCCAAGGCGGCCTGCGGTCCAGCTGATGGGAGGAGAGGGAGCCCCACGTGCGGCAGGTTCCCACGGCCCGAGAGAAGCACACGGAGGCGGTGGGGTGACCGAGACGGGGCTGTTAAGATGCCTTTTGAGAAGCAGTTTTGCAACACGTCAGTCCCGCCGAGAACAGGGGGTCGTTCATTACGCAGCGTGACGGTAAAAGCTTGGCCGAGGGCCGGTTAGTTACGCCGTCTTCACTTGGCAAATTCTTTCAAAAAAGGGGCATGTTTCAAAAGCACAGCAGACTGTGGGGAAGAATATGGAAGGAAATGTTCAATTCCTGACTGCCGTGCTGAGCGGGGGGAGTACTTCATTTCTGGTAGAAAAGATGACTTGATAAGATCTGTGCAAAATAACAAACGATCATAAGTCAGGGAACGTCAGGCGTTGCTGAGATAAAAAGACCTATTTATATATACTAAAGAAAATAGCCCCGTTGGGAGAAAGATATTTCAAAGACTATCCTGGTAAATGTGTCTTTAAGACCTGGGCGTCTCCCATCTCAAACCTTAAAAACCTGCCCGTTTCCGAAGTCGGATCTGAAAGGGGGCTGCCGATGTGTTTCGTTCGTAGGTCGTCTTCTGTGTACTTGCGTCTGTGTCGGGGCTCGGGGCTGCCTTTTATTTTGTAAACGCGTTTCTTCCACAGCAACAACGTGACCTTCTCTCTCTGTTTTGGTTTTAACAGTGTGTCCTATTCCGTACATGTATCTGAAGATTACCCAGGTATGTTTCCTTCTTTTTATTTTTATCGCAAATGTTTATGTCATGATTCCCTCACGTATTTTTCCTTCCGGAGACGTAAAGTGCACGTGGCTGTATTTAGGGGAAGCGCTGGCAAGGACGACTTGAAGATACGGAAGAATTGTGATGGCCTGCGAGGCGCTTGTCTCACCTGGGATGCGGTTCGGAGTCCAAATAGCTGCCTCGCGAGAAGACTTGACTTGGGCCCTATGGTTAGCTTCCGCCTCAGCATTTACCTCATTGCAATTAAAGACTCTTCAAGCTGGTTTAGGTGTTGGTCTTGGAACATCGGTTGGCTTTTCACAGTGTAAAGTAATAGTTAAAAACAGCTAAAATAATAGTAATAGCTAAAAAAAAAAGAACCTTTCTTCATCTCAGTGTATATTTGAACAATTCACACAACAGTCCTGTGAGATTGTGCCCATAATTCCCCCATTTCCCAGATGGATGGTTCCCCTGCTAGTAAGAGAAAGAACTGGGATTTGAACCCAGTAACCCAGAGCCTGTGGATGCCCCGTGCCGGCCGTCTCCCATGGACACAGCTGTCCTCACTGTCCTGAAATACAGGGCCAGGTCCACACACGCTCGTCCATCGAGTACAGATCCCTGCAGGATCCCTGCAGACCCATTTTTCTGAAAAGCAAACAAGCATCTTTCCTCTGCGTCAGCCGTATACTCGGGGCTCCTATAATCTCAACAGAGCCTGAGGTGTGTGAGCTGACATTTAAGTCGTGATAACTTGAAGATGTCAACAAGATGTTTCTCTTTAGCATTTTTCTCACAGATGATGTCCATGCTTTTATCTCGAGCAGCAGCAGAGGCATTGCTGACTTGGCGTAGATCGCACGGCTCGATTTGGCGTACCTGTGGGAAGGGTGCGACGCAGGCCTCTGTAATGCCAAGACTAGCCCGTTTTACCTGCTTGTATTTCACACATACAGGGTGGAGCAGCAGTAGGTTTACAGCTGTTCGTATGGAAAATAATATAATAAATGACACAGGAATAAACTCTGTTTTGCGTACTGATAACTGTCAACCTCCTTTTGTATCTGTTTTACTCCAGGATTTTTACTGAGTGAAATCCGATGGTTACTAAAGTAACTGTTGTGACCTGTCAGGGTCATAAATTGGAAGCAGAATTCCAATTTCTATTCAAAAATCTAGACATTTTATTCTCATAATTTGTGTGATTGGGGATCATATTTTTTGGTATAAAATGACTAGAATGATATAAGTAACTCTGATTATATATACTTTGAGTATTTTTGAAAAAGAATTAGTTTATAATGTGGTACGAGGACATTATAAAACTTACTCCTTTACATTTAAGCTGAGTGTTTCCCTGCGGCAGTTTGCATTACGCATGTTGAATTTTAATATTCTTCTATAAGATCAAATGTCACCTTTTGAAATGATTTTGTAAATCAGACTCCCTTCTGAGAACAGGAGACAGTTTGTAACCTTTTTGGGGTATGATCTCCATGTTTTAAGCATAGTATTTTACCTATTGTGCGATTTTACAAAGGGGCATTATGTATTATTAAAGATAAACCGATTTTTTAATAGCAGTATACAAAGTATTCTTGGCAGATTGTATTGGAAGAACCAAGACAAGATACATTTATAAGGAAAATGTTTTCTGTAGATGGGCTTGCAGTCAGCCCTCACTTACTATGATATAGAGGGTTTTTGATGTTGAATGTTTGCTAAGCATCTTAGGGGGAAAAAGCCCCACAGTTTGTTGTAAATAACCAGAATTATTGTGCTTCTTAACTGAGCAGGTCCTAGAGGTGTTAGCCCTTCGCGGCGCAGGGCTTTAATTCAAGGGCTAGAAATAATGCCACAAACCAAAGCCCAGCTTGAAGACAGGGAAGTGTTGGGTGGCACAGGAAATACGCTAAAAGGCGCCTTCAATCCGTCAGACGAACCGAATGTGTAGCTCCCTCTTGTGGCCGAGAGGTATCCGTCTCTCTCGCCCCACGGGAGCCCCCCTCGGAGGGACAGCATTGGAAAAACTGAAATTTTAAAATAAAGCCTTGGTTTTCATCTGTGCCTTTTAGAAACGGAATCCCTTTCTTGGAGCAGTTTATAGTGAATTTCCAATATCATTTTGCTTCTAAAAAGAAAAGGAGCATAAACAAAGCCCACAAAGGGAGAGATCGTGTGTTCCGGGTAGGATTTTGACTTGGCTGACGCAGCCGGCACTCTGGACGTCAGGTATTGTCACGTACGGAACTGAATTGGTTCCAAGTGCCGGTCTCTGTAGAGACAGAGCAGGGGCTGTCGTGACACTTTGCGCTTGAAGAAAGGGGCCGAGCGAAGTCCAGTCGTGCCTGCCGAGGACGCGCTGTCCGGTGGTGAGGCCAGGCCTCCGGCTCAGCTCTGATGCCCCCACCTCCGGAGAGCGAGTCGTGGCGTCTCTGTGCTGCTTTGTTTAACGCGAGTGCCAGTCTGGCAGTATTTCCCCAGTTGTTAAGTTTTAATCTGCATTTATTTGCACGAAGAGTGCCGTTAATCTGCTTGATTTCTCGGACCGACAGTAGTATTTAAAATGTGTGCGTCTGCGCGTCCTTTCCGGCGTTCTCCCTCCTGCTCTGGCGAGCCGTCCAGGATGAGTGTCAGTGGCGGACGCGAGTGCTGGCAGCTCTGTTCCTTTTCCCCGAATCGGTGCGCAGGCCCGCGGCGGCCTGGTTGCAGAGGACGGGGCGTTGCCCTCCTCGCTTACCAAGCGGCTTCTGCTGAGCAGGAGTCTTACGTTTCTGTCCAGTTCTTGTGCGGCATCTGTTGAGGTATCACCTGCGCTTTCTCCTTTGAGCAGCCAGCTGCGTGAGCGGGTCCCTTCGTGCGGGGCTGTAGGAATGACGCGCATCGTGTCCTTTACGCTGTTGTTGGAGACTTCGAGTTGCTCAAGGAGTTACCCTTGTTTCGGCATCTGCTGGAGCTTCTGAGCCTGGCGTCTTGTGAAGGGTGTTTCTAGGGCAGTTGTCTTATTTTTCGGCCGTGATTATGGGTCTGTCCTGTTTTTCTGTGTCTTAGTCATTTTTTTACCGTGAGTTCTTTTTGAAACTCACTGTGTCGGTGAAATGTCCAGATTTTTTAGCGAGAAGTTTTGTTTGTTTTTTAGCACTCAGTCTATAGTCTAAAAGTCTTCCGTAGCTCCGCAGTTATTTCTCGCTTCTCGTTTCTGTTGTTTTATATTTATTCTTGTCTTTTTTCCCCTTTGACTTAATTCCTCCTGCTAATCCCCCTCTTTCCTGGATTATATGGTTCAAGGATTATTAGTTTATCATCTAAATTTGAAAATATGGAATTTTCTTTGCCCTGTGGAAAAGTGTCAGCAGAATCCTCCAAATTCTGGACTGTGCCACCCTGTGTGTTTTTTTAGAAACAGATGTGTCATTTTATAATTTTAATCTATTAAGTAACCTGTGCCGTGTATTGAAACTCCTTTCAGAGTTTGTTTTTGTGAAAATGAAAATTCAGAGGGTCTTTATTGAGTTTTAGAAATACATAATAACAGGTACATGAATGAAATACTAAGGGATACGCTGATTGTTCAAAATAAGGTAGAGAAAGAGAGCAGCCTTCTGGTTTACCGTGCTTCTGCACGGAGTTCACGCTGCAGGCGGCATTTTATTGTTTAAGGGAAGCGTCAGGCGTAGGTGACTGGCTTTGCCCTAGCGAAGCAGCAGAACCTTCCTCCGCCGCCCCTTTAGTCAGGAGGCTTAGGGATTCTCTCATCCCTTCTGTATGTTCTACAAGGTATCACGATCATCGAGTGACAATTTTTTGTTATTAAAAAAATAAAGCATTGCCCGGCCGGGCGTGGCTCAGCAGTTGAGCATTGGCCTAGGAGCCAGGAGATAGCGGTTTGATTCCCGGTCAGGGCACAGGCCCGGGTTGCCGGCTCGATCCTCAGTCGGGGGTGTGCAGGAGGCAGCCGATCAATGACCCTCTCATCATTGATGTTTCTCTCTCTCTCTTTTCTTCTCCGTTCCTCTCTCTGAAATCAATAAAGATATATCAAAAAATTATAATAAAAAATAATAAAACACATTGATTTTTGGATGCAGTCAGTTTCACCACGTACTAACTGTGGTATTAATACTTTAGTCACTTAACTAACTTGAGCACGGTAATCTCTCTGAGCCTTGCTTTCCTCGGCTTTACAAGAGGGATGGTCATTGGTTGGCTTGGGGTCTGACCCGAATGTTACAAAGAACATTCAGGGGAGATATTCCTATTACATCATAACAACAGCGTAATTGCTATTTATATTATTTCTCTTAGTTACATAGGGACGAATAATGGAATGACTTGGCCTAAATTACGTTGCATTTGAGACAGAATAAAAGCAATAGTCTAAGAGATGCTTTTCCATAGCTCCCAGTGGTCTGCATACATCCCGGTCACGCTTGCACAGCCTGGGAGGGAGGGGAGAGAATATTCCTGCTCCGTACAGCCTTCGCCAAAGGCTCCTCAACGTCAACGACACACACGCTCAAGAATCTAGCAGTCCTCAGAAGTTTTAAGAAAACCAGTTGGCAGCTCTGGAGTCACGAGGGAGAATCCAGCGAGGGACGTGTGGGAAGACATCCTGTTCTGTTCCTGACTCAGCCTGTCACCCTGAACACGCTCCGTACCGTTTGTTTCCACGTCTAAACAACATGACGTTATAACAGACGTCAGAGTGGTTTGAGGCAGCCTTAGAAACCATTATTTAAACCACAACTGCAGGAGAAGGCACTGAACCCATTCCTGCAGCTGCGACGATTCTCGCCCATTTACAGCGAGGCCACCAGCGGCTCAGGTTAACAGGATGGACCTCTGGTTGGGGGCAGGGTCTACATGCGAGGGGCTTTGCCTGCCCCCTGCACAGGGTCTACATGCGAGGGGCTTTGCCTGCCCCCTGCACAGGGTCTACATGCGACGGGCTTTGCCTGCCCCCTGCACAGGGTCTACATGCGAGGGGCTTTGCCTGCCCCCTGCATAGGGTCTACATGCGACGGGCTTTGCCCCCTGCATAGGGTCTACATGCGACGGGCTTTGCCTGCCCCCTGCACAGGGTCTACATGCGAGGGGCTTTGCCTGCCCCCTGCACAGGGTCTGGATGCAATGGGCTTTGCCTCCCCCCCTGCACAGGGTCTGGATGCGACGGGCTTTGCCTGCCCCCCTGCACATCTGCTTCTGACATTGGGTGCACCTCTGTGATCTGGCCTGTTGATTATATCGGAAGGGCGCTTTAATAGATACTGTCATGAAACCAGAAAACATGTTGGTTTTCTCAAACCAAACCAGAAACAGAAATTTAAACTGTTCTAATGCCTTAATATCAATCAAACACAGACTGGTAGACAGTCTCTTAGAAAACAGTATGTTTGACACACAGTCCCGTCTTTCACATGCCCAACATGTATGCACCAGACTGTTGTCTTGAATCAAACTGGACAGCTTTCCAGTGACAACACCGTGTAAGCCATTTCATCCTGTAAAGCCCCGTTTTCTGAAACAAAATGTCCTAATTTACTTGCCCTCTTGATGCTTTGGTCAAACCCCGTCGTTCCACGACACCGAGACGCTGCAGGGCACTGTGTCCATTTCTCAGATTGTTCTGTGTCCCCTCTGGTCAGCGCTCAGCCGTCACTTCTGCTGCCTTAATGCTCCCTTCTAATTCTCTTTTCTCCTAAGTTTGTTTCAAGGAATCCATTGTGCACAGAAAAAAAAACTAAGTCGATTAGGAAGCAAATAATTTTGAATGAGGGTGTAAGAAATGTAAAAACAGACTTTAATAGAAGGGTTTTGACTCCTTACCTGGGAGCACAAGGTTCGGACAGAAGAGCCTCCGGATAAGCCGTCAACTAAAGGTGGGACCATTAAAACGCATCCGTGTCAAATCTCTCAACCTGCGGGCCCGCTTGTTAAACACACAACTCTCACACCCTCCCCGATGCCGCTTGAAAATGAAACAAGGCAAAGTTTGTAATTAAAACAAATCAAAGTAATGAGGCGGACCTGTTTGCTCTAGTCGAACCCACACGCATCTCCTCTCTCCCCCGGCTAAGCATTCGAGCCGTGCGTCTGCCGAGTCTCGTGTGGCCGGCCTGCGCGGACCTGTCACTGTCCCCGCTCACTACTCGGGGTCTAAACACAGCACAGGTGTTGCTTTGGAAACAGCGGTGACTTAGCTGCCCATCGATGAGAAACCGTGTCCGCGCTGTACTGACCGGATGCTGTGAAAACGTGGCTCGAGGTCTGGGGCTGTGTGTTTACTCCCCCGACCATTCGCTCCCCAGCAGAAATGAGCACAGGCCTCCGCTGTGTGTAAGGGACGCTTTGTGCTTTTATTTTCATGTTTCCGTTTCTGCATTTTACGCATCGTCCAGTGCATTGTGGGACCGTTATTAATGAATTGGTACCGTGTTGGTTAAACAGCTGGAACCGTCCATGAGCAAAGTAGAGTAAATAGCCCGTGTTCTGTTACGTTACCATACACCTAGAGGTCAGTATTTACCAGGGGAAAGTCCTAAATTTGTCAAAACACTTTTTTCCCCGGAGGAAACAAACAAACAAAAATGCCTAAGAAACAAAGCATGTATGGAGTAATTCAATGTCCTATGCGTTTAACTTGTATGATTTAGGTAAAGTTAATTTGTGGAAGGAAAATAATTGTGAGGCTTTGAATCAGTTTAGAAAGTGTATGGTTGTCTAACCTCTATGCTGCACACCGGGAACCAATACAAAATAATATGAAAGTAAACTGTGATTGAAAAATAGAAATTTAGAAAATAAAAAAAACATACATTAGAGTTATATGGGGGATATGATTTACAACAAAAGCTTCAGCTCAGATTCCTTAACAACCTGATGTGGAGATTTTGGGGGGCACCTGGTGTCCAATCGAACTTTCTCCCTCTATCCTGAACCCTGAACTGTAGAGACTGACACTGGGAAGGACCCAGTTGCATCTGAATGATTCATTACCACATATGGGATATTTTAGATGCATGTGGATAGTGTCTATCCCAAAGTCTGTATTTCTCTAGGAGATGCAAACGTCTCTAAAGAGAGACCATTTACAATTAGTTCACGCACAAGTTTGCAGTTTACTTCATTATTTTTGACACTTTACTAGAACAGCAGTGTTAGAAGTGATTTGGATATAACTTCATATTTTTATAAAGGATGTACTTTTTCAAGTTACTGTGCCTTTAATTGTCTGTATTTCTTTGCAGATAATACATATGTGTCAAGTTCAGAAAATGATGAAGATGTATTAGTTACTACAGAGCCAATTCCAGTAATTTTTCATCGAATAGCCACAGGTAGTAGGAATACACTCTTTTTTTTGTTTCTAGGTTAACTTTTTTTTTTTAAAATTGTAGATAGCTTTGTGTTTTGGTTTCCTTTATTTAGCCCATATAATAGATATTAATCTTTAGCTTCTAGAAATCTGGTTCTCCCTACACATTTTCTATCTCAAGTGCATTCGTTTGTTTTTCGGCAGTTTTTTAAGTGCATAAAATTATATTACTTTTAAAAAGTCTTGTTTAAATGTATTATGTTGATATTTGCTCTTGTGAAAATGTTTTCATGTATAGTGATACTGCTGGAAAAACTGAATATTTAAAATGCATACTCAAGGCATTGTAGATCCCAGAATTATATAATGAGAGCTGAAAGAATCTCTGTAGTGGCATTTTAGTTTGACCGTATTTTCGTGAGCAATGAAACATCAGAATAGCTTGTGTATTGTGTAACTCCCCAACATAATATAATTTCAAAATATTCCTTAATTTACTTGCAAAGGAAAGAATCACCTAAGCGGTATTTTTGTACTGAAACTTCTGAATGTGTGTTAATAGTATGCTGACAACTAAAATGATTTCTTAATTTATAAATTTCAGAATTAAGAAAAACAAATGACGTTAACTGTTGCTTATCCATAAAATCCAAATTACAGAAGGAAAATGGGGAGGTATGTAAACCATATTTTATATTTCTCTGAAACAGTACAGATATGTTTCAAGTTTGCTGAGTATTTGTAGTTGGCATCATCGTTGTTGTTTAGGTTAAGATTGCATATAGTGAATGAAGCTGAAACCTTGTGTCTTAGGGACTCGCTGTGGGGCAAGGGTAGGGCCTGAAATTAACTCTGAGAAGGAAGCTCCCTTTAAGGTAGTAGAATGCCTGGCTAAAGTCTAAATACGTGCATACGAAAGCTACCCTATTCTCTTTATTTTCATCAAATAAAGTGGTTGACTGAGGAGCACTTATGTACCTTATCCGTGTAACCGCTCTGGGTGGCCGAGGTGCCGTTGTGATTAGCTAGTTACTAACAATAGAAGGAGCAAGGGGGGGGACAGACAGTGCAGGCCTGTCGTTTGGGCAGCTTCACCAGGAAGCTGCGACCTTGCGCTCCCCGGGGAACCACCAGCCCATTCCCTGCGGATCACCGGGGGAGGGGGTCCAGCAAAGGGAAGATAGGCACTGCCCAGTAAAGTTGGGGTGACACAGGGGAGATACTTATTTATCAGACACACCTGGGAACAAATCATTGGCCAGAATGAGCATGGCCACTGCAAGCGCACGAAAATTTGGGATTTGGGGCATAATCCCTAAACAAAGGAGCTCGCTCTTGGCTTCCTTGCATTAGCCAAGTGCGCCCCACATAAAATGGACTGGTGCGCTGCAGTGGGGAAACACAGGCTAAGCCAGCCTGATGCTGGACTATTCCCGGCTCCAACACAGAAAGGAAATTCTGGACACTGGCTCTAATTTTAGCTACACTTCTTCCATGGCGGGACAAGGGGAAATGGGACTTTGGAAAGTCAGGGATTTAATTCCAAGCAAATAAATATCACTCTTCTCCGGTGCGAGTCTTGTAAAGATCTTTTCCATGGGATATCGCAAGAATTCCACTCCCACTAGCAACCGGGGGAGTGAGGACCTCTACCCTCCGTCAACAGCTGTGCATAGTTTTGATGGGACCCTTAAAATTTCATTTGTGAAAGATGATCTCTTTAGGAAAAGTAGCACAGAGCATGGGTACAGCCTTATTATTACTGGCCAGTGTTAAATCACCAACAGTAAAAACTGCAAACTCATCTGCTTTCCTTACCTTTGGAAAATTTACTTGAAGCTGTAAGTAAATACTGGGACATTAAAGAAACAATGTGAGTGCAATGGAGCCATCGGTTCTTGGCTTTAAAACTAGTCACCCAATACAGCTCTTTTACTGCCGTAGGGCTCATCCCATCTTACTTGATCCACGCCGAGAGCCACTGCTCTGGCACTGCTGTTGCTCGTACCGAAAACTTAGCATTTTATAAAATCCAGGTCCCCTTTCCCAGGATTTCGTTTTCCCTAAGAGTTTGAAATGTGGCCTAGAGGTTGAGGGATGATTCTGAGACGTTGGGTTAATAGACTCTAGTGTCTAAAGCAGGCTCCCTTTCTCCTGATTATTTTAACAGGGCTGGGGATAGGGGTTGTAACTAATGGTAACCGCTGGTTGATTCAGGTGACTTTTCATTGTACTTGAGACACGTGAGAGATGTGCTTCGGTTAATTAGAAATTCAAACCACACGTCCAAGCGTATTTAATTAAATTTCCTTTTGAATCTGAAATCGAAAGCAGTTTCTGCATTCTGCAAGTTTTTTATAATGTGGTTCTTATTTATTTTCATAATTTGATTTTTTTATTACCGGAATCAAAGTGTTTTCTTTCATGCCATTGTGCAGAGTTGGCAGCGGAAGTGAGAACTGTCTGCAATAAACAGTGCTGAGGAACTTTTTAATAAAAAATTGAACCAGCATACCTGAAAGCAACACACAATAATATTGAATGTATGCTGTAATTGAAAAAGAAAATTAAAAAAAAAAATTGAATCAGTATGAGCTTCTCAGATGTTTTATCAGAATAAATTCAAAATTGTAATTGCTTATATATAGTTATTTTATATATATATACACCCCAAATATTAAATTGTACAACTCAGGATAAGCAAAGTAGAACTTTTAAGAAATATGTGCACAGGGCCCAGTGAGGTCACCAGACTGTCTCCTCTTACCTGTGGAGTTTGGGGCTCATTCTGCACCAAGAATGTGTCCACGTAAAATCCTGGGGCTGTGAGGAGACCCACCGATTATGGCCACTTGCTACTTTCTTTCCGGGGGGAGGCAAAATCGACCATTGAAATTGTCTTCTTGCTCTGTTATTTTAAGGAGTCAAGACAAAGCAGTACAGTGGAAGAGGACTCTGAAGGGGACAACGACTCTGAAGAATTCTATTATGGAGGACAGGTAGGCGGGGCCGCGGGCCGCTCCCCAGCGCAGTCCCTCGCAGGTCCCGGTGGAAGTCCCTGCTTGACCCGGGAGACCCACGTGGTCTCGGTATAATTTACCGGTTTCTCCTGCTCTACCCCTTTTCGGAAGTTCAGGCGCCTTTTGAGGTTCTTCGACAGTTACCGCTCATTGGCACGGACGTCGCCCTACCTCGTCGCAGCGATTTTGCACACGGCGTCTCACTGTGCTTTTCACTTTTATGTTAAGCGTACTGGATTTTGAAATGACGACAGTTCTAACTGACAGAGGCGTGGGCTGGTAGTTTTAAGTGCAAGAGGATTGACCTTGTGAAAATCCATGGGCCCTAATATTGAGCTTCCCCCCACTTGCATCGTTGCCTTCCCGCTCCTCTTACACCAACGTAAAGTGTTGGCTGAAGAATTGTTAGGAAGAAAGGTCATAGTTTATGGACATGGGAGCGGCAGAGCCGTGTGGGCATCTGTGTAAAAGAATTCAGGATGTTCCAGGACGATGCTAGCGTTTGAGCCGAGCCGTCCGCGTTGGGGGTACGGCCCTGCGAGCGCCTTGTCCCGCTTCTGTGACTGCTCGCTCTCTAGGCTCCGTGCCTCGGGCGCATTAGTGGGAGGACCGAGCAGGGGGAGGCGGTGGAGGCGGGAGGCGGATGCAGCCCTTCCCGCGGCGGGCGCTGGTCCCGGGGACCCTGACCGCCGTCACCCTGGCGCTGTGCACAGCAGTTCCCGGGTCCGACGCTTGTGTACGCGGCTAATTCTCGCAGGGGAGAAGGGAAGGCTTTTCTTCCATCTAGAGGGTTTTCCGGTTGCCTGCCATGTACTTATTTCAACCCTTTTCACATTTACGTTTTCTTCACACCGAAGTAGTCTGGCTTGACTTCTGATGCCAGACGTAAGCACTTTGGTGAACATACAGCGGCATTATCTGTGTTTTTTAAGTGAAGGCGGCAGAGAAAGCGCCCATCTCCGGACCTGTCCAAGGGATGGCTTGAGGGTCGAGTCGGTTGACTCTCTCCCTCGCCTGCGTCACCCCAGAACTGTCCCTCCCGCAGGTGAACTACGACGGGGAGCTGCACAAGCACCCGCAGCTCGAAGCCGACCTGTCGGCCGTCCGAGAGATCTACGGGCCACATGCCGTTTCTCTCAGGTAAACAAGCACCGGCGGTGAGTAAAAATTAAAATGACCGGGTGAGTCATGGGGACTTGCTGTTGGAGCGATTTAAGTGGAAATTTTCTTGGGCTTAATTACATTTAAAAATATTTGGAAGATTCTAGTGTGTGTCTTGTTCAGAATGGCATCTTCATGGCTGTGTGGGGTTTTTTTGTGGGCTTTTTTGGTAGATAGTTCAAGGTTGTATTGACTGCATTAAAAAATTAGTAATTTAGGAGAGTGAATTTGATAAAACATCAGTCTTAAGTAGTGTCATAATCAATTCTGGTAATAGATTGGGCCAGCTGGCTCCATGCTGTTATCATAACACATTCGTGTGAGCAATAAAAGTAAATAGTGCATAACCGCTGGTAACCAAGTCACACTAGGATATGTTATCTGGGCCCTCAAAACAGAAAGGGGAAAAAGACATAAAATTGCACCGTGTTTATCTGAATGGCATGTGTTTGTTTCTCCAGTAACTTAATATATTATTTGGTGGTACATTTCTAGACCATTTTTACTAGTTTTAATTATTCAGAAGAGCCCACCCTCCTGAGTTACCTTTCTTTCCTCTCCTTAATTTAAGAAAACCCCTTCGCTACCACCGTGGTGGTTTCCTCCCACGAGCCAGATCTGGCTATTTCAGGTTCCCGGTCTTTGCCTGAAGGGTCGCCTGCAGTGCCCATGGGCTCCAGGCCCTCGCCCAGCCTGACCTCAGCCCCAGCCTTTCCCACCCAAACCAGACTGTCCCTGTCGTGCACCTGTGCTCTGTTCCACGTGATCTGGGCATTAGCACGAGCAGTTTTCTTACCAGGGAGTGCTTCCCTCTCCAACCCCCTGCGGTGTTTATTCAAGCCCAGTCCAAAGGTCAGCCTTGCTTTGAGCCCTCTGTGGTTCCCCAGTACAGCTTAGTTATCCTGCGCCCTGGACGCCCATCACATCTGGCTCTCACCCCATTCGCTGTCCTTCTCACATCTTGTCGTTTATTGGTTTACTTCCTCCCCTCTCCACCCTGAAGTCTGCGGGTGCTGGGGGGACGCCCTTCTGTGTTGTTTGCTTTATTTTGGTTTGGTTTTCAGTCCTGCTTGTGTTCCGGTGTTTGGCACAGCACAGGCCCATCTGCAACTCAGACTGGTGGATTCTCGGTGGCTTTCGGCGGACACGTCCAGATTTTGAGAGAGCAGACAAGCACTTTCACTCAGGAAGTGCAGTGCAGCTCTCGTTGATTTAAAACTCCAAGTGTCTTGTTCTCACTGCAGAAACAGAAACTCGCCACCACCTGCAGCCTAGATAAGCTGGGGTTGAAACCCAAACCCTCTCTCCCTGCCTCCAGGAGGCTTATGAAGCTGTGACTGACTGAGAGCGACTGGGACTATGTTGGGAAAGCAAGTCTTTGCAGCGTTCCAAGTCTGAGCACATTAGCTGCGACGGTTTCGTAGTTGATCCCCGCTGTGGTTCCAGGGTCGGGACTGTGGATATTCAGTGAGGGTTATAGAATGAATAAATGAAGAGGGAAATGTGAACTATCGATAAATGGCCCAAAACAAGGACTAATTTTCTAACTTTGCTTGAAAGCTTAAAACTTTAATCACAGTAATTTAAACCCCCCCATGCAAAAAAAAAAAAAAAGCCTGTGGGATATAGTTAATCATACAATACAACACAGACTTCTTCTTTCCTTTGAAGTACGGATTTTTGTTTGGAGGACTACCTTAGCGCAGGCGGACTGCTTTTATCGTTTAAAACTTTTTTAAACACATTATTTCCACACTGTCTAGACCTCAACTATACTGTCACTTATATATGGACTTTTTCCCCAGCAGGCATTTGTTAAACACCTATGATCATCTCTATTGGTATTTTCCATTATTAACAAAATTATTGATAATTTATCAGCTGTTGGAATTAAGATAAATATTTGGAACTTGATTTAAATGAAGTATCTAGAGTGATGCATGGCTGTGATTAGTTTCCCCCCGTGTGTATTTCACGTATCAGTTTTGATCCGTTTCAGACCTTAATGGGCACCAGCCGTGTTCTTGGCTGCTCTAGATTTTCTCCAGATCCTCTCTAGATTTCCTCCAGCTACAGAGGACATTTCCAGAATAAACAGCCTCCCAGGGGCCTAATGATGTGAAGGTGAATCTCAGCGGGGCGGGTTTGATTTGCTTAAATCAGAATGAATTTACCGTCTAGTCTCAAATACCGAGGACTGGACACCTGGGAGACGGAGGCGTTAGGCATAAGGTCTTGGATTCCCCTTCCTTGCAAAGTTCCAAGTCTGTTGAAAACAGACTGTTCTAATTAGCTGTTCTCTCACTTAATTGAGGTTTATAAGAACTTAATGGAGTTTGAAGAGCAAAAGTACCTCAATATGCATAATAGGCTCTTTGGTGTCATTTTTTTTTAATGCGACATGTAATGAGGAGGGCAGCTAAGCACATCCGAGGTCTCGCTGTAAGAGACGGAAACAAGGGAGAAGGCCCCGATGGAGGCAGAACCATCCAGAAAGGGTGAGGGAGGGTAGAGGAAAAGCCGCTGATGGTAAACGTATGAACGTCGGTGATTTCCGCTCTACCGGGCCATGTCCGAGGGCAGAGCACTGGCTGTGTTGAGCCACACTCGTGACCGGGGCGGCAATTCTGACGCAGAGGCTCCTGTGTGGGACGGGAGTCAGGTCCCTGCAAACGAGACTAACCTGTGATTGTTCTGAACGTGTCTCACCTTGAATCGTGCCACAAAATGAGGTCGTTTTAAGTTTTTCATTATAAATGTACTCCTATAGTCGCGTACTTATAGGAAAGTATTGATTGGTGCCATCTGAAAACAATTTGAGATTAATATTTTTAGGAAGGGAGGGACTTACAAGTCACAGAATTCTCACTGGGTCTGAACAAAGTGACCCTGATATGTGCTTTCGGGGTTTCAGACTCAGCCCCTAGGACACTTGCTTTGCTCTGTGACACACCATCTTCCACTTGAATTTGAAGCCATCTGAGTAACAGTCTGCCCTTTGTATTGTGGCTAACGCTTACGGAAGATGGCAAGATTGTGACTTGTGTGTTTCGATTGTTTTTTGTGGGCATACAATGGTAACAGGGCCTTTAGGAGTTGATATTTGCAGGGCAGGGCGTGCTGGGGAGTTTTTAAGATTCAAGGAGGCGATACTGCTATACTTGGGGCCACCACCCGAACATGGATCTCTGGGGTGGGGGGGACGTTAGACGGGGCCACAGAAACTGGGGTGGAGCCTTTAACTTCTCTGTGATTCTAGATTTCCTCCGTGGTGGCCACCAGGACCATGCGGAGACCTGGTCCTCCTCTGGCACACGGCGAGGCTGTGTTTCCCTGTCCTTCTCACGTCTGGCGTGGACACGCACTGGTTTTGGGCCGTGCAGTGTGAGCGTGAGTGCTGGGGTGGGGACCCCGTGTCTTCTCTGCCCCTTAGTGCCCAGTGAGCCACGGCCCACCACTGGCTCCGTAGTAACCGTGTGGTGTGAGCAAGGCATACGTCCTGCTTTGCTGTAAAACACTGAGATTTTGAGGCTGTTTCTTACTCCCACCGTAACCTGCATTGAAGAATGTCTTTCATCAAAAGACCTTGGGCTGGAGGTTTGAGGAGCCCTTTCCAGGGTATTGTGGCCCCCTCTTGCCTCTGCAGCCTAGGGAAGGGCGCTCTGACTCTGAGAACCGGGGGG